AACAACGTTATTATTATATTTAAAAAAACATATATTTGTAAAGATTTCAACTATATATGTGTTTCTGCGCAACGCGCGAGCATTCGCCTAGTCATATCATATCATGTCATATCATCATATCATATCATATCATACTATACTATAAAGGAAGCATTTTTCCTTTAACCACATCAATTTGAAACTCCCAACTATTTTTCCTTTCACCACATTCATTTGAAACTCTCATGACTTTTCAATTTCTTTCTAATAATGATTATAAGTTGGTTAATAAGGTTAAATAAATATCAAACCTAAAGTGTAATCATAAATAAACTAAATTTCAATATTAAAATAATATTTTTACTTCTACTTATAAAGTTATGTCTTTAACTTTTAACATATTATGCTTAATATATTAGATTTAATATGTTGTTGTATTTAATTAAATATAAGATTACATTGTCAACTTAAATATAAATTTCAGTTCTACATAAAATATTTCCGAAATATATTTTTATAATTATTAAAAGTTTTCAAATAAGTAGCTTAATATAACTTACCATAAAATAGTTAAAAATAACTCTATATAAATGATTACATTGTTACCTTTAAAAACAAAAAATAATGTTTGATGTTTTAAATAATTACAATGATAGAAATTAAAACGTTAAGCAAATAAATTTTAGAACGATTGAGATTATGCAATTTTAATAGTTGTATATATTATCATATAATTCAAAATAATCAATATATTATATCAACTTAGTATATGAATTATTATATAAAATTTAACAATAACCTTATTATTATATTTAATAAAACATATATTTGTGAAGACTTCTACTATATATGCATTTTTACTTGCACCACATGCATTTGAAACCTCCATGACTTTTCAATTTCTTTCTAATAATTTTTATAAATTGGTTAATGATGTTAAATTAATGCAAAAACTAAATTTTAATAATAAATTAACTAAATTACATAGTTAACTTACTAGTTTAGGTATGTTGTATGTGAGCAATTGTCATTTTAAAGTCACAACTTTTGTATAATTTATGATTTTATGAAAAATAGTTAAATTATTAATTTCAATATAATGTTAAACGATTAACTTAAATCAAAACTTCAGTTAAACATTAAAAAAATCGAGATACTATTCTATAAAAAGCTAAAAGTTATAAATTATAGCGTTAAACCTAAATTGCAATCCTGAATTAACAAAAAAAATGAAACTATTTTTTATAATCATTAAGAATTTTCAAATAAGTAGCTTAAATATAACTTACAATAAGAATAGTTAAAAGTAATATTATATAAAAAATTATACTGTTATCTTTAAAAATAAAAACAATCTTTGTTGTTTTAAATAATTACAATCAAAGAAACTAATAAAATTCATCAAATAAATTTTAAAAAAGTTAAAGTTTTGAAACCAAATTAAAATAATTAAGAGTTTCAAAATATTTTATTTAAAATAACTTACAACAACAATAGTTAAAAGTAACATTGTATACAAAAATTATATTGTTACCTTTAAAAACAAAAATAATGTTTGATGTTTTAAATAATTACAATGATAGAAATTAAAATGACAAACAAATAAACTTTTTAAAATTAACTAATCGTAACAACTATAAACATCATTAAACTGTATATTATATTTAATTTTATTTATGAGTAACTCGCAGGTAGAGACCATTGAGACAACTGAGATTATAGAATTTTAAAAGATTTTATATTATCATATAATTCAAAAAAACAATGTTATAAGAGCAAACAACAACATCATTGAAATATTTAAAAAACATATATTTATAAATATTTCAAATATATTGTTGTATTCTGCACAATGCGTAAGTATTCGCCTAGTATACTTATAAATGAAACATTTTCCTTTCACCACATTCATTTGAAACTCCTATACATTTTTCTTTTCGCCACGTTCATTTGAAACTCCCATGACTTTTCAATTTCTTTCTAATAATAATTATAAGTTGGTTAATAAGGTTAAATAAATATCAAACCTAAAGTGTAATCATATATAAACTAAATTTCAATATTAAAATAATATATTTACTTCTACTTATAAAGTTATGTTTTTTAACTTTTAACATATTATACTTAATTTATTGGTTTTAATATATTGTTGGATATAAATCATTATCATTTTAAAGATACAATTTTGGAACAATTTGTATAAAATACTTAAATGATTAATTTAAATATAATATTACTGGGTAAACTTAAATATAAATTTTAGTTTAACTTAAACAAACCAAAAAATATTTTGTAAATAGTTAAAGGTGATAAATTGTAGTGTCTTTCTAATAATGATTATAAGTTGGTTAATAAGGTTAAATAAATATCAAAACTAAAGTGTAATCATAAATAAACTAAATTTCAACTTTAAAATAATATCTTTATTTCTACTTATACAGTCATGTCTTCAACTTTTAACATATTATACTTAATTTATTAGATTTAAAATGTTGTATGTAAATCACTATCAGTTTAAAGCTATAACTTTTGAATAGTTTAGACAAAATACTTAAACTGTTAATTTAAATATAACATTACAGTGTCAACTTAAATATAAATTTCAGTTCCACTTAAAAAACCAAAGAATATTTCGTAAATAGTTAAAAGTGATAAATGCAAAAACTAAATTGTAATCTCAATTTAACTTAAAATAACTTAAAAAACCAAAGATATTTTTATAATCGTTAAAAGTTTTCAAATAAATAACTTAAAATAACTTACAATAACAATAGTTAAAAATAACTCTATATAAATGATTATATTGTTACCTTTAAAATCAAAAAACAATGTTTGATGTATATATTATCATATAATTCAAAATAATCAATATATTATATCAATTTAATATACGAATTATTATATCAAATATTGTTATATTTAAAAAAAACATATATTTGTAAAGACTTCAACTATATAGATATTTCTGCGCAACGCGTCGGCATTCGCCTATGCTTAGTGAACATTGGTTACGGCATATCATGTAAAATAAATAAGCAAATATATTAATGGAAAACATTTAGTTACGCTTCGAATCATTAGCCGAAATTTGAAAATATTTTGATATCTTTAGGTTCTAAAGTGTTATTTTATGTTAGGTGGTGGTCATACTTTTGTTGGACAAAAGGGTACGATTGCAAAGAGAATCTCAGAACCCACACCTTTTAGTCATGGCGTCCTTGTATTTAAATTAATGATTTTAGAATTTTCTGTAATCTAATATATTATTTTAATGAATGAAACAAAATTACAATAACAAATGAGATTAAATAATCATTTCGATCATAAAAGACTTAAAACAGAAACAACGCCGCTTGTAGTATAATAATATTGTTTATTTTTATATTATATTATATTTATGGGGAAGTTAATTTAGTTTTGATTATTTGAGATGATAACGATCATCCTTTTAAAATATACAAATTGTTACAAAGACATCATTAAGGGATGTATACATAATAATCGTACATGTATTTTTGTTGCCTAAATAAGTCATTAATTCTTTTCTTAATTAATTGATTTGTATTTTATGTTTAACAAGTCGATTGACACTAATGATAAACATAGCTAAAATTCAAACGAATCTAACATCATCCAAAAATACTTAAAATATTTTAGATAGCTTTATTTGATAAATAGATTATTATATTAATATTTACCTAACATAAATTAAATCAAACAAAACGTTTAATTGATGTTCATTAAAGATGAGAAATATATATAAATATTTAAGTATATTTATGGCCTTATGGGTATTGGGTAATGAGTGAATTGAATGAAAAGAATATATATACGATTCAATAATAGGTATGAACACAGATGGGAAAGTTAGAATTTCATTCACAACGTTCTAAATGGTTGAAAAAAGGCATAACGAGAGATGGCATTACTTGTGTTATTCGCAAAGGCAAGAATAGATATCAAGCTTGTTAACAAAGAAGGGATGTAAAGCCGCTTTTTTTTCCTACATAAAATAGATAAATAAGCTATTGTATATATATATATTATCTATATATATATATATATATATATATATATATATATATATATATATATATATATATATTTGTAACTCGATATTTGAATTAAATAGTGTATCTGGAACAAGGGTGATGAGAGAAAAAAAAATTGAATATAAAACCTCGATTATTAAGGGATAAAGAACAAATGTATAAATTACAAAAAAGAAAAAAGATCTTTCCCAAAAATATTGCCTTTTCGAATAACCAACTAAAAAAGGTACTACATTTTCCTAAAACATTATTTGATTACAAACGTTAGAAGATCATAATGAAAATCGAAATCAAGTATAAATGATTGACTTGATGAAAACATGTATAGTATTTATTTGATATATATCATTTACATAGTTCTAATGTTTTGTGTGAAATCTTTTTACAAAAAGAGATTTGATTTTTAGGATGTCGATGAGGATGTGTGTGGGGTCTATTTGTAAACAAATCATGAGCTGAACATGGAGAGTACATACACTCATGTGGTATGTACCAACCAAGAAAGTCTTATTTGTCAATTAAGCACCAAACAAACAATCTTATCATAAGTCAATTAGACCATATATATGTATTAGCCATTCCTTTCTATACTTAATACATAGCGGATGTCTTAATAGGTTAATTAAAGGAAGGAATCCAGACCATAATTTTACGTCCCTTTTCTTTCATAATTTTACGTAAGCAACAAAGAAAAGTCCAAAAGCAAAATTCGGAGCTTTACGGGCATCCGTCATCATCTACTTACAGCCACTACTTAGCTGTACATAAAAATGACATGACAGGCGGGCGGGCGGGTGGGCCCCATCTCCATAAACTTTACACAAATTTCACTACTTAATTTACATCTCTAATAAAACACCTTACCTTATCCTTGCTTATTATTATTGTTATTATTAAAAAAGGGGAATCAGAAGTTTGTTGCTATTTACTTTTTCTTCTAAAACAAAAAAAAAAAAAAAAAAAAACAAGTCAACTTCCGCAAATGACTTTCCTTCTTTGATAGCATTTCAGATGGCTGTTATTGTCATTGTTGTCCTCTTCCTTGGAGTTTGATGCTTCCATGGAATACTCCATGCTTATTTCACTTTCACATTCAACATGAGCTGCTTGCTTTTCCTACAATCAATCAATAATTTAAATAGGTGTGTAAACAAGGACAAATTGCAAGAAATAAGTCAAATAACATTGCTATTTCCTACAATTTCCTCTAGAGGAAATCAAAATCAACAGGAGTTACCAAGATTTCAGGTGGAGCTGATCCATTGCCATTGTTGTCCTGGTTTCCATCATCAGCCCTAGCAAAATATTAATTAAAAAAACAAACAAACTTTTTCTGATGAGAAATAACTGTAATGTGTAATCTCCTCAATATATCAAAAAGACTTTCTTAAGTTAACCACAAACCCCTAACTTCTATCAATTCACTACATCACATAAGCTCAAAGAACAGAGTCCTAAGTCCTAACTTTTTTTTTTTTTTTTTTAAATACGGTTTAATTATAATTTCACTTGAAGTGTTTGGAAACATACTTTAAAGAATGTTGATCGATCATCATCATCCCACTTTCCTCAACTTTTTCTGCTTGAGACACTTCAGAAACAGCACTGACTCCATCCAAATCTACACCATTGCTTCCATTAACAGTCTCATGATTATTCTCTGCATCAAAATATAATTCTTTTGGTGATATTAAAGCATTTAACCAAAGATTTTTTTTTTTTGCCTTAAATAGTAAAAGGGATTGATAAAGAAAACACACCTCTTGATATGCTTGACTCTGCAGAGGGTGGAGCCTTCACTAAACGTTTTTGACACATTTGTGTGCCTTGAAAATCAAGAAAAGTGTAGCCTAAAAACTCCAATTTCTCTGATTCTGTCATTATGGAGAACCCAAATGATGATGTCCAAGTGTGTAGCACACTCGGGACAGCTGGCAAAACTAGTCTTTCCACTCCTAATTCCACCAGTTTCTGGAAAGCAAAAGATAGAAAATATTAATTCACAAAATGTGTTTGTAAGTAAGAGAATCTGTCAATGGAATCAGAATCTATCACACGTTTGGTAGGATTGGAATTCAAGATTGAACATTTTTTTAATTCACTTATAATTAAAAATTGCTTATTTTTAATTTATTTCAATATATACGTATTAGTCAATGAGGGTATTTTGTAAAAAAGAAGTATGGAATTACATTCTTTCCACTGTTAATATGGAATTCCAAGATTCCATCCATTTGACAATGAAACACACCTTGGAATGGAATTTGGAATTCCAATTCCATCGATTTCCTCTGGAATCCACAAACCAAACAGGCCTTAACAAATGTACTTTTTATGATACAATGCTTCAGTAAAAGCCTAAGGTTTTACCTTTTCAAGCTCATTCATAAGAGCATGACACATTCCACGCCTACGGAATCGGAATCGTGTGCCAACAAGCGGGATTTCAGCTACTTTCTCTCCATAAATCCTTGAAAATAGTAACAATCAAATGTAACAAATGTGTTTAAAATCAAGAATAAATAGCATATCTTTGTCATCATATTACCTTATTGTAGCTGCTGAAACAAGCTCATCATCTTTCTCCAAAAGAACAGTATAGAATCCTTTGAAATTCAAACGGTTTAGCTCTGACCTGTGGTTAATTTTACATAATTACCAGAAATCAATAAAAACTTATTATAAACAGTCCACAAAAATGAAAAACTAAATCTTACCATCTACCAAAAACAACATCTTCAACTATATCTCTTTGGGTGCGAGGTTCTTTAACAGGCTCAAAACACTCATGCATCACACTAATGGCGATATTCAGCTTGCTGTAACTCTCAGTTATTTCCTCCATATTTAAGGTTTCATCAGGTTTCTTGTGTTTCAATATTGTCCATGTCAAATCATCTCTCCCAACTGGAATCGGCTTTCCCAAAAGCTTGTTAATCCCCATAAATATCTGTAAAACCACCATGAGTGTGTTCATTAGTTAGATATTATGGTTTCCATCAATATGACACAACATGTTGTACTGCATTTGACATGACACAAGTCATAACAAATTGTTCTGCATCTGACATGACATAAGTCAGAACAGATTGTATTGCATTTGACATGACAAAACATGTTGTAATGCATTTGCTTGGGACTATAAGACAGATATCAATGGGAGAAAGAAATGCAATTAAAAGTTAAAAGATATTTATATATACCTCTTCACATCTCAAAGTACAAAACCAATTTACTTGAGGGTAGCTTTCTAGCTTCAAGAAACCTTCTTTCCTTTTTAAGCACCCTATATGATCTGCACCAAATTTATTCAAAAATCAACATAAATAAAAAAATACACCTAACATGAAAAAACCATAAAAAAAATTTGATCCCACATACATCTTCTTTCACACTGTTCACAACTTAGAACATTACTATCCGTATTTTCTTCACAAGCATCACTGAATTTATTTTCATCACAAATTCGACAACGACATGAAGGGCAGAACCAATCACCATCAGGGACCTCCTAAACAATCAAAGGAAATCAGAAACATTAATATAAAGTATAAACTCCAATTTTAGTATTAAAAATACATTCTTTAAAGAATCAAGAATGTTCACCTTTAATCCTAGGCAATGTGTGTGAAAAGAAGATGGACATTTGTCACATAAAACCAACTCCCCACCATAATGACAAACAGAACAAATATAATCATTGTCATTTATTATTGGACGCCGATTACCCTTCAATTTCTTGGGTTCAGATTTGCACAATCTTGCATTTTGATCACGTTTGAGTTGAATTTGACAATCTAATAAAGACCTACCATCTTCAAGAAAAATGTTAGCAGAAGGTCGTCTTAAAGTACTTCCAGAATGCAACTCAAATTTAGAAGGACTAAAAACCGTTTCACAACAACTACATGTTATCCCATCAATCGTTAGCCACCCTTCTTTCATTATACTCCCATCTTTCCTATTAAGGTAATATACTTTGGATCTTGATAAAATGACATTATTATCCATCAACCAAGACAAAACGGTTCGTGGGGTTTTGTGTGTTGGTGAAATCTCTTTGCGGGCCCGCTTGCTTGACCTTAACACACGGTTTTTTGTTGAAGATTTTCCCGTTTCTTGATTTTCTTCATCTAAATTCAAGAAAGACGCTTTTGCCCTTGGTACTCGTGTAGGTGCTGCTGCTTCGATGCACAAAACACCGTCTTTTTTCTTGATTACAAGCTTCCCTATAACTTGCTCTTTTCCTTTTTCTCTTTCTTCTCCTTCATCTTTTTCAACATTTTTCATGGGCCCACTACAAAAACTCTCCAATAGATACTGGTTACATGCTTCGCGAAAAGAATAAAACTTTTTCCCATTTGGTGAAGTGTACAAAACCTTTCTAGACATATCATCAGCATACGAATATGTCCATCCAACTGCAAACAAATGTTTCTTTGCTTTATATTGCATATCATTAAGCTGTTCACGTTTCCTCCTCCAAATACCAGATTTTTCTAATGTCATGGAATAATAGTCAGCCACAGCCTGTGGACAGTATTCGGGTTCAACCACCACTAGTGGTGGTCGAGGAGGCGGTGTATATGGCTGAAGGGAAGAATTTTCAGATGCAAGTGCACCTGAACATATAGCATCACAAGCAATAGAAAGTGACATGAACCGGTGTCCTTTAGGGGTAGTGTAACGGTATCTAACACTATCTTTCTTTATTGAGCTTGCTTGATCTTTCTTGATCTCAATTGTCCAACCTAAAAACGATAAATGTTTCCTTACTTTTGAAGTTAATGCTGCTGAAGGCTTGTGAGAAACACGTTTGAACTCATTGTACTCAAAGATTGAATCAGGACAACACTCGGATTCAACAGCTAAACCAGGTTCAGCAAAACAACAGTCGTTTACTTTTGTCCATTCATAAATATTTTCAGGTTTAGTACTCATGATCATGTCTTGATTCGAATGTACATTTGAAAATCCAGGAGGACCCATGTCATCATCATCATCATCATCATCATCACCATCATCATCATTATCATCATCATCAACATCATTATCAAGCTCGTGTTCAGAGGGTATAGCCGGAAGAGATTCAAAGAAAGATGGTTTGATCTTTGGAATAAAATCAAGAATTTTTTTGTTTATATTCAAGATTCCATGGCCTTCACGCTGTAACCTACTGAAAAACTCCACCATTGTCAACTTCAAATTATCTACAATAACCTCTTTAACAGTCTCTTTCCAGACTTCCCTTATCTGACAAGTCCACTCCTTCATTTCTCTCAAAAACTTCTTCTTCATTCTCAATTCATACCAAATCTGTTTGACAGAAACAAGAATCGGCCATTCCGATTCCAGTTCCTCAAGAACTTCAAGGAATACCCAATTCCCACGAAGCTTCCATTTATCAGTTTCTGGATTCCAGTCCCGAGTAAACCGTAAATTCTCAATTTTAGCTCTAAGCTCATCACCAACATCTGGAAAGAAAACCAGGCGTTCATCAGATCCATCATCATGGTCAAGAACAACACCTTCCCACCATGCATCTTCATGAAACACATCCACACATTGTCCATAATGGAGGCAATTCAAATTACACTTAAACCGAGGAGGCACTGGCCTTATTCTGCCACGATTCTTATGAAACTTTGATGTATTCCTGTCAGGTGGGAGTTTGTGATTCACTGGAAAAGAAGCTGGAATGGAATCAACAAGGTTATCAGAATCATCATCATGTGTAATGTGATCATACTTGACCACACGAATCTGGTTTTTACTATCGATTACAGTTGCACAGTGCCAAGAGCCTTCAAATCCTTCTTCAATACTCCTTACCTGAAATCAGTTTCATAATTAAAAGCTAAAAAGATAGTTTTTTGGTGGATAGAATTACAATGCATGGAATAACAGAGCTCAAAATGGAAGAAACATAAAGAACCCCCAAATTTCTTAGCTTTGTATTCATAAACTTGGAATCAGTATAAATTTTTGAAGTCGTGAACTAAATCAAACATAAAACCCTACATTCATACAAAGAGATAGCTGTCCCCCATTAAAATCATACTAACCAAAGAAATAGTTACCGATTGAAATCAAACTAGTTAACATTCCGCTTCAAAAACCCCAAATTGATAATCATATCGACCACTGATCGGAATCTTGAAACAATAAAAGAACACAATGTAGGCAAAGTCAAAGCATGCAATCAGTCAAACAAGTGATAAACAGGAAAATGAAGCAAAACCAGATTAAAACCCCAAAAAACAAGATTTTAACCAAAACCCTCACAGACACACAAACACTGATTCTGGTGTACCATGATCGATAAACCCAGAAGCGAGAAAGGTTAAAAGAAGATACAGTAAAAGAGGTCGAAATGGGGGCAGTCATTACTTCCACTTTTTCGTTTGGAAGAAGCTTATGAATCGGTTCGAGTTTCTTGCGTTTTCTTGATCGCTCAGAAATCATTCCTGCCGCTTCAATGTCCTCCGCCATTGATGAGGTTTTGGAGGTGTGAGATTGAAATTTAGAGTCTTGATCACCAGTCTGAACGTGTTTGGTGGAGGGTTTTAGTATTTCACTGGAATCGATTCTTTAAACCCAAATATTTAGATATTACATTGAGGGGAATTCCCGAAACGTTGTGGCCAAGTAAGAAATTAGCCAATTGATGCTTCACAAAAAGAAAAGAAAAATAAAAAGAAATTAGCTTCTTGCATTATTTCTCGATATCCCCCCACTACTATCGTATCAGTATGTATACATAGACATGTCGCAGTTAAAGTTCCTCAACAACGATGAAATACATGGTCCTTGTTTAAAAGGAAAAACAATATATATGTGTGGGAAAATGATAACTTCTTTAAATAGATTTTTGGGTTTCAAAAACCAAAAACACCATTATTCCATTATATAAATGAAATATTTGGAAAATATATATAGCTAACTTTTCATGTTGGTTTTATGTTTTATCTTCATAAATAAGTTCGTTTATTAAAAAAACAATGGTTGTTTATTTTAGTAATTTATATTTAATGGTAACTAGAAAGGTTACCCCGCTACGCGGGGCCCAGAAGCTTTCAATGTTGTTTCCGAATTGATAAATATGACAGACATAGAGAGTGCAATGATGAAAAGTCTGGGCTTTGCCCCCGGACAAAAAATGTAAAAGTTTTGACTGCAAGGACCAAAAGTGTGAAAATGGATAAAGAATTAAAGGGGTAGGAATTAACAACTTTTTAGAAAAGGGATCAAAGTTGTCAAACCATTAAAGTTTTGTGGCCAAACTTTAAATATTAAAAGGTTCCAAAAAAGTGTAAAAATATTGATTGCAAGGACCAAAAATGTCAAAATGGGTAAAGAATAATGAGCAAAGTTGTCAAAAAACATCCAAATTTAGTATTCCTAACTTCCAACAATAATACAGGGACCAATTCTGCCAAAAAAATGGGAAGTTGAATGGAACACAAACAAAAGGACATGAATAAATTAATTAAAGAAGTACAGGGACCGGAAATGTAAATCAAGTGGCCAAAATTGGACAAAGTATGTCAACTTTACTATTCCTTTCTTCCATAACTTTAATATATATATATAATAATTTGTTTTTATTACAATATTGAATTTCGAAAAGTTTACTTAATTATAACAAACACTTCAATAATTTGGATTTTTAGCAACAACACGTGGTCGGTGTTAGGTTTTAGTTTTAAGCAGTGATATGTAGCTGATGAACTTTATTAAAAGAATTTCGAAAATTTAAACATTCATCGACACCTGTAGTCGTTGAAATATTTATTGAAAGATTTTGAAAATTCTAATGGAATATTCTCCAACGAAATTATGAATTGGCTCCGATTCATAATAAGTAAGGCGGCAACATTTCAGTTGTTCAAAAAAATGTAAGGCGATGACATGTCGTCACTAAAGATGATATAAAAAACATTTAATTAAACTAGATGTGTGTCTGCGCAAAGCGGCGGTGATCAATAGCTTTTTTTGGCGAATAGTTTCTTATGGAGAAATAATTATTAGATTTTATCATTAGTTAAAGTTTTTTTTAAAACAGAAAGTCCCGATTATTTAGTATTTTGTCCAAATTAACGAAAAAAAAACAATTTTTTATATTTTAACAGGAAATGACAAATTAGGTGATTTTTCTAAAATAATAGGACTTTTCTGTTAAAAAAAACTTTTAAGACTTTATCAAATATTTTCTCAAAATAATGAGACTTTTCTGCATAAAACTCTTACTTATTATGTAATAAAAATTACCACTTTAAATAAAATATTTATGTTTATACTCTATGTTTATATTGTATGTTGATACTATTGATGTAAATTAATTAATATTGGTGTTTAGTTTAAGAAATATAAATTAATTTATATATATAAATTTAATATTTTAATATTTTCATTTTGTTTCAAATTGAATTTCTTAATTACACTCCTTAATCCAAGTCTTCAAACTTTTGGCAAGTATTAATGAATTATTTATGCATAATTGATTTGTATAAAAAGTTTTATAACCTATATCTCTTAAAATTCAAGATACGACTAATATGTTTTATAATATAGTATAAGATATATTTTTTTCATTGATATCTTTTATACTACTGATTAAATTTGTTCAATTTCTCTATATATGTCATATCCTATGGGGTGGTGATGACCGACGACCTCTCTCCCCCACCTCTTCAACTTACTATACTTAATTGATAAATTAGTTGAGATAATTAATATATATATATATATATATATATATATATATATATATATAAAAACATTATTTCACATGATTGGTTACTCATATTTTTTTCTTTTCTCCTTCTAATTATTTTATAGGAAATACATATGAATTGAGAAGAAGGTTGTAGTTGTCATATAAAAATGTTATATGGTGAAATATGTCATGCGTTATACGATCTTCTTTGGATATATCAAAGATTCAAAAGATCAATCCATTCTATCGGTTTAAAGGAAAGATATCAAAGATTCAAAATCAAAGGAATGATATAGTCCATTGCCTAAAAAAAAAATTCTATATATCTTTTAATTCTATAATTTTATTTTGCTTGATATTTTTAAGTTACGTACATTGTAATTAGATATTATAACTGTTTTGTTGTGTTAGATTGTAAGAGTGAAAGATCAAAAATAACAGTTAATATTGATGTATATTCTATGATGTTGGATCATTCTTCAAATGTAAGAATATCGTTTCTTAATCAATAAAGTAAGTAATTAATTATATTATAATGTTATAATAGTAGCGAAAAATGTTAGAAATGTTACAAACATTTGTATCACGAATCGATATGTATTATTATGAAAATCTTTTAACATTTGTGGATTGTTGAAAATTTATGATTTATTATTTCATAAGTATATTTTTTTATTAAAACGTTTAATCTTGAATTTTACCATTTTCTAACACAACATTAGTTCTAAAAAAATCACTTGCATATAACTTTAATGAAAATGTGTTTTTAATATAAATTTTAATTTTGACACATTAGTAGTAATAACCGGTAATGTACTGTGAAAATTTTAACACTTTCGTTTTTTAAAGAAAAATATCAAGTAATAGTCTAAGCCAACATTTTTAATAGTGAGCTTTAAGGTTTTTGACATAATTATTGATCGAGATATTACATGATCATATTATTAATTTAATTGAATACGTACAATTAAATATTTCAATCCTATGTAATTAAATCTCATAAGTATCAATTAATGACAAAAAAAACATCAATTAAGGATCATACTTGGAATTTAAAGAGTTCTATTATTAAATTACGATTTTAATATAAAAATTAAAGAGATGTGTAACCTAAAAAGTCTTTTTTGACAAAATGATTTTTTGACTTATAACTTTTTCCAAAATGAGTTTTTTAAATGTGTTTGGATTAACTTTTAAGGAGACAAAAGTCAAAAAGGCAAAAGTCTCCAACATCTAAAACAACTTTTTTTCCTTCTTACCAAAAAATAAATTTAAAAGAACTTTTAGAATTACCAAACACCTTTTAAAATTTTAACTTTTTCAAAAAAAAACAAAAGTCCAAAAAGTCAGTTTGAAAAATAATTTCAAACACCCTCTAATTTTAAATGAAAATAAGTTTTGAGAGGATAATATGACGCTTTTGAAACAAGAGATGAAAAAACATTAAAGTAAAATACAAAAGAAAAAAATGGAAATGAGTTGTGGAATAAATAGTTTAAACCAACGTTTTAGTTGTAAATACGTCATATATATATATATATATATATATATATATATATATATATATATATATATATATATATATATATAACGCACATAGATCTTAGGAGCAGTAGAGTTTATGTAGTTTTGATTTTGGCCACAACACTTTTTCAATATTATAGTTTTCGTCCCTTGTTACCTGGCCTTCAGAATTTGACCACAAGATTTTAAGGGATTGACAGTTTAGTCCTTGGTCTTCATTTTTACTGGTCGGTTTTTTATTTTTGGACACGTGTTCTGTTCATATGCAAAGGCCTTCGTGACTCCTCTTCTCCACCACTTTATCAAACAAATATCGATGAAGACGATAACGATGCCTCTGATATCTATTCTATATGCCTTTTTCTTTCTCCCAAATTAACTCCACCTCGATTAATCATCTTCAAATGTCGATTATGAATGAAATATTAGGGCTATAACGATATTTGATGGTGCTCAATGAAAACTCAATCAATTTCGATTTCGATGTCGGGTTTAATTCATTCGAGTAGATACGTGGTGCCTCCCCTGGATTCAATCCTTCACATGTTCTGACGTTTGTTGTTTCATTCCTATTGCTAAGCGATTTCTCGAATGTGCATATTCTCCCATTTCCTCCACTGCATCGGTATGTTTTTCTACTCTATTTTGTCCTTTGATTGTTTCCTGATTGCTACTGTTTATGTGTTTGTGTTTTTCTTTCATCTTGTGTTTTTTGTATTCTCTTTGTCTTTGTGTCTTCTATGCGTTTCTTGAGTTTGTTGGTGTTTTTGTGTTTATGTTTTGTTGCAATGGATTGTTACCTTTGGATTTCTCCATGACGAATTCTTACATGACCTAAGTTAATCAATTGAAGGTTTGAGTTTCCAACTTCATTTTCTGAGTATTCTACATAGTTTAAGAAGATCTCCCTGTTACTGGAAGAAAAAAAGTGTAACACCCTGTTTCGATTCGTTTCATAACTCGGGACCGTAACCCAAAGATCAAGTATCATAAGGCTTCAGGCTTTGGGAAAATAGAGGTTTTAGCCCAACGATAAAATGGTAAAAGCGGTGTTTCTAAAAGATCTAGTATGCTCAAGAATCATACTATAGTGATATTGCTAATTAACATATGATACTAAAGGGTCACACTAACAACAACTTGATACAATTGATTATTTATTAGAAATTAATTTTAATAAATATTCAGTAAACTCTTATAAATAAATTGGAGATTATTTATTTTTACGAAATAATAATTTTCATTAAGCAAGTAACATTGTATAATTCATATCGTATATGAATTAATAAGTCATGCACAACATTTTGGACTAGATGAATCCTTTTTATCTTTTACCAAAAGGTTAAAGTTTATAAGATATAAACTTATTATATTTTTATAAAATTTGACTAGCTTCTTGGGTCCAAAATCATGGCTTTTTAAGAGAGTCAAAGGTATGGAGTTTTGCATTAATTTAATGAAAA